CTCTCCTGCCCGGGCTGGCTTTGAACCGCGATCCTCAGATCTCAGCCTCCTGAGTAGCTAGGATTACAGGCGTGAGCCACCAGCGCCCGGCTCATATCTTCTTATACGTACACACACACACATACAAAATGTGAAAGGATTCACTAGAGAAAAAAAAGTAGCCAGGCACCCATGGCACAAGCCTCTAATCCTAGTTACATAGGAGACTGAGATCTGAGGATCACAGTTCAAAGCCAGCCTGGGCAGGAAAGTCTATGAGACTCTTTATCTCCAATTACCATCAGAAAACCAGAAGTGGCGCTATGGCTCAAAGTGGTATAATACTAGCCTTGAGTGAAAAAGCTCAGGGACAGTGCCCAGGCCCTGAACAGTTCGAGCCACAACCAACAAAAGAAAAGAAAAAGAAAAAGAAAAAGAAAAGTAGGGGCTGGGATGTGGCTTACTGGCAGAGTGCTTGCCTAGCATGCAGGAAGCCCTGGATTCGATTCCTCAGTACCATATAAACAGAAAAGGCTGGAAGTGGTGCTGTAGCTCAAGTAATAGAGTGCTAGCCTTGAGCAAGAGAAGCTCAGGGACAGTGCCCAGGCCCTGAGTTCAAGCCCCGGTCTGGCAAAAAAAAAAAAATCCAGAACCATAAATCCTAAAAAAAAAAAAAATAATAAAATAAAAGTAATTACCCTGCCTTGGGGGCAGGGACAGCAAATAGTAAATGGGGGCAGAAATGAGTTAAATTTTTTACTGACTTCTGAATCATGTGAATGTGTTAAACTCTGCGCCTAGGGGCTGTCTCTCAGCTCTTCAGCTCAAGGCAAGTGCTCTACCACTTGAGCCACAGCGCCACTTCTGGTTTTTTCTGCTTATGTGGTGCTGAGGAATCGAACCCAGGGCCTCATGCATGCAAGGCAAGCACTCTACCACTGAGCCACCTTCCCAGCCCGATTTAGTCTATTTCTTACCCACTAGGACACACATGAGTCAAAGAGATGAAGAAAGTTTAATGAAAATGTAAAGCCAGTGAAAACCGTGTGTATGTATACATACACACACACTATATAAACAGGGACCAGACAGATAAATGCAGCGGGGAACCATTCTGGCTCTGATAAGGGTCCAGTGAACTCTGGCTGCCCTGCCTGCTAGCCTACCTGTTCTGCCAGCCAGGCAACGTGCTTGACTTCCTTGCTGCCTCCCGCTGTACTGGTAGCACCAAGCATGGCATTGAGTTCTGCCAACACCTGTGGGAGGAGAGCCATTATGTTGGTGTGGATAGCTACGAACCAGGAGTGTGCAGTGGCTGTATCCTTGCAGCGGAGGATCAACGTGTTCCTGCTATCAGGAGAATGTAGTTCTATCAATCTGTGTGCAAAAGAAAAGAAAAAAAGGAACTAGGTCAGAAGTCAGCACACCTACCAGAGTTTAACACACAAACTGAAAATCTAATTTAACTTTGCATTCCTCAAATAAAGGCACTTTTTCTCCATTCTCTAGAGTCCAATTCCAGAGAAAACCACACCTAGAAAAATAATCATCAGCAAACTTAACTGCTGGATCAGTTGTTGTGCAATGTTAATGAAAGGAACTGATAAGGCACCTACATTATGGTCTACAGAATATATCACTTTGCCTTAATTCCATATCCAGAAATGTAAAGGATATTTGCTGAACTTCTTGGGTTAAAAGTGGAACTGATATTCTAAAACTATTTAGATAACTCTAGTATGTTATTAAAATATACAAATAATGAACTAAAAAAATTTTTTTTGGTTGTCCTGAGGCTTGAACTCTGGGCTTGGGCGCTGTTCCTACACTCTTCAGCTCAAGGTGAGCGCCCTACTGCTTGAGCCACAGTGCCACTTCCTGTTTTCTAGTGGTTTATTGGAGATAAAGAGTCTCATAGACTTTCCTGCCAGCTGGCTTTGAACTACGATTACAGGCATGAGCCACCGGCGCCCAGCAAATAAGCTAATTTTTAAAAATGTGCATGAACAAATTTCTTTTTCCTTTTTTTGCCAGTCATGGAGCTTGAACCCTGGGCCTGGGAACTGCCCTGAACCTCTCTGTGCTCAAGGCTAGTGCTCTACCACTAGAGCCACAGTGCCACTTCCAGTTTTTTCTGTTTATGTGGTGCTGAGGAATCGAATCCAGGGCCTCATGCATGTAAGGCAAGCATTCTACCACTGAGCCACATTCCCAGCCCCATATGAACAAATTTCTTATAAAGCAATTTGGGGGCGGGGGAGGGTACTGTCATGTGTTCTGGATAAAGTACTTACTAAGATAAGTCAAATAAATAAGTGACTAACATACATGGGAATGCATTTATCTTGGAAAATGGAAAAAAGAAAAAGCTATTATGAATGTCTCCCCTGGTGGGTCAGAAATTGACAAAGTGTTAGTCACCAAGGAGAGAGCCTTATTTTCTGAAGACAATCTGTACTGCTTTGAAGTGCTTATTAGCCTATCACAGACAAGCACCTCATACATACACCAGCATTTCTGCTTTGAAGCTTGACTCCATCTCTTCTGCCCTATTTTTTTCCTTTTTCAGTTTTGCCACATTTTTAAGCCCTTTTCTGTTGCAAAGAGTCTAAGTTGTCTTATTTTATATGACAAATATTTATTCTCCTTTGAACTCTGTTTGGTCTATCCTTTCATTATTTTTGTTTGCTTGTTTAGTTTGGGGACTTAACTCCAGGCTCAAACTCTTGCTTTCAATAGGGGCAGGTACTCTATCATGTCAGCCGGTGCAGCCTTTTGCTGACTAGTTGGAGATAAGGGTCTCTTTTTGTTTGTTTTTCTTTGATTTTGATCAGGCTGGATCCAAACCTCAATCCTCAGACCTCAGCCTCCTGAATAGCTAGGATAGAGGCATGAGACACTGGTGCCTGGTGGTAGATCCTTTCTTAGATAAATATTTATTGGGCTCCCACTATGTGGTAAATACTATAGTAGATACTGGTGTTGGAGATACAGTACTACGAAAACAGAAAAAATATCTTGTCTCCATTCTTGTTGATTACCATTAGTCTAAATGAAACAATGATAAAACAAAAATAAATAATTTCTGGTAAAACAGAATGACCAGTTACAAAAAGGGCTGTAAAGGGCTGTAATTTGTTGAGGAAGTAGTGTGACTATTACTTCAATGCTTCCATGGTGGTAGTGGCAAAGCAGAACTGGCAAAGAAAACCTCTAGATCTCCAAGCTGCCATCATACTATGAGATAATCTATAAACACATCTATCTGGTAGAGTATCTATACTAACTCACATGCCCTAACAGTCAGCCTATCTACCTTTAAAGTTCTACAGCAATAGTCCAATAGGACAAAAGACTTAGAAAATAGCCAAAACCCAAATAACTGAACAGACACTTTAAAACATTCATGTTTGAAAGCTCATCTCCCTTAGAGAATCTTGAGACAACAGATTTCATGAACTATTTGCTTTTGATTTGGATGTAGATCTGATTAACTCATCTATTTGATTCCTTATTCTATATGTAAATATAGTGAGAGGAACCAGGGGATCTGAATATAGAAGGTCTTGAATAACAGGTTAAGTCTTGTTACTAATTAGTAAGCAATATGGAATCATTTAGGACTTTAAACAAGGGAACAAAGTGACGAACACAGTACATTGAAAAGATTATTTTAGGAGATATATCAGCAACCATATTATAGCAGCATTATTCACTATAGTCAAAAGGTGGTAACATCCTAGATGGCCATCAATGAATGAATAAGCAAAATACATTAAAAAAAAATCAGGCCGGGCACTGGTAGTTCACACTTGTAATCCCTAGCTACTTAGGAGGCTGAGATCTGAGGATCGCAGTTCCAAGCCAGCCTGGGCAGGAAAATCTGTGAGACTCTTATCTCCAATTAACCACCAGAAAACCGGAAGTGGCACTGTGGTTCTACTGGTACAGCACTAGCCTTGGAGGGCTGAGGGACAGTACTCAAGCCCAGCGTTCAAACCTCACAACTGAAAAAAAAAAATCAGGGTTCAAGTGATAAAACACCTGGTGCTCTGCCTTTGAGGCCATTTAAATCTCAATACTCCCCAATCCCCCCCAACAGCCAACCAACTAAACAAACAAACAAAAAGGAAAGAAATCCTTGCTGCAACATAGATGAACTTCTAAGATATTATGTTAAGTAAAATATGCCAGACATAAAAGTACAAATATCATATGAATATACTTATGAGCTATCTAAAGTAGCAACCCAGAAACAAAGTAGAATAGTGGTTGTTAGGAGCCGGGTAGAGGGGGAGTGAGGAGCTACTCTTTTTTTTTTTTGTCAGTCGTGGGGCTTGAACTCTGGACTTGGGCACTGTCCCTGCGCTCTTCAGCTCAAGGCGAGTGCTCTACCGCTTGAGCCACAGCGCCACTTCCAGTTTTCTAGTGGTTTATTAGAGATAAGAGTCTCACAGACTTTCCTGCCCAGGCTGACTTTGAACTGCGATTCTCAGATCTCAGCCTCCTGAATAGCTAGGATTACAGGCTTGAGCCACCAGTGCCGGGGAGCTATTCTTTAGTCAGAGCAGTTTTTCTTTTATAATAAAGTACTGGAGACTTATTGTGTATTATCATGAATATGTTTAACATTAACGATTTGAGTGCATAAATATGCCTAATATGGTAAACTATTTTGGGCCTGAACGCTGTCCCTCAACTCTTCAGCTCAAAGCTAGTGCTCTACCACTTGAGCTACAGCGCCATTTCCAGTTTTCTGGTGGTTTATTGGAGATAAAGAGTTTCACGGACTTTCCTGCCCGGGCTGGCTTTGAACCGCCATCCTCAGATTTCAGCCTCCTGAGTAGCTAGGATTACAACATGAGCCACTGGCACCCGGCTACTTTTTTATTGTAAAAATACTGTACAGAGGGTTACAGTTACATGAGCAAGGTAATGAGTACATTTCCTATTGAGCATTATTGCCTCCTCCTTTGTTTTCCCCTACCATCTCTTCCCTCCCATCTCTACAACTACCCCCCCACCCCAAAGTTGTAAAGTTCATTTTCAACATATGTTTTGTTCATCTCATTGTTACAATGGGTCAACCTGCAACCTTATTTAAGCATTTTGTTTTTTCCCTTCCCCTCCCTGAATAGAGAAGTGTATATACAAGATGCAGGGCACTGACATCAAATACAGTGAAAACAGGGGTTATACTGTGGGAGAGGAACATACAAAGTAATATGGTAGACTTTATGTGCCATATTTTCTTTATCCATTCATTAGTTGATAGACATTGAAGTTAAATCCATAACTTGGTAATTCTTCATTAATTAATTTGGGTTTGAACTCAGGGCATTTTGCTATGCAGGCATTCTATCACTTGAGCCATACCCCTAGTTCTTTTCTGTCATTACTTTTGGTTATTTTTCAGGTAGGGTCTCAAAACATGATCCTCTTACCTAAACCTGCCATGTAGCTGGGATCACTATATCTGGCTTATAGACTAAAAGGGGTCTGGGGGCTGGGAAGGTGGCTCAGTGGTAGAGCGCTTGCCTTGCATGCCTGAGGCCCTGGGTTTGATTCCTCAGCACCACATAAGCAAAAAGAAACAAGCTGGAAGTAGTGCTGTGGCTCTAGTGGTAGAGCGCTAGCCTTGAGCTGAAGAGCTGAGGGACAGCGCCCAGGACCAGAGTTCAGGCCCCACAACCGGACCCCAAAAAAAAAACAAAACATGGGAGCCAGGTACTGGTGGCTCTCATCTGTAATCCTAGCTATTCAAGCCAGCCTGGGAAGAAAGTCTGTGACTCTAATTTCTAGTTAGCCACCAAAAAGCTGGAGGTGAAGCTGTGGCCCAAGTGGTACCATATATCACCATAGAGGTACCATGTATTATCAGGCTGAATGTTTTCTAGTGATATCCACCTAGTTACTTTGGCATTGGAGTCAGCAGAAAATCCTTTAAACACATGCTAAATAAATGTTCATTGGCAAAACCATGACAAGGAATTTCCTTCACTCCTCCTACTGACCTACATAGCACTAAAGATAGTACTCAGTTCGTCCTTCAAGTATAAAATAGTCACTTTCTAGAGGAAAAAAAAAAAAGTCTTTGCATTTCATGTAGCTCCTGGGACAATGTCCAGACTGGCTCCTTTGACAAAGTATAAATTCTGAAAACCCCATTAACAAAGATTGTAGGTATTACTAACTGAAAGAACAGAAAAAAAAATATTACAAATTACAGCTCGTTAAGCACGAGTGAGCACTGGACACCTTGGGGCTCAAAAGAAGGAAAATAGGCAGTAGGCTATTTCACAGGGGAAGATCACTAATTTATGAAAAGAGAAAGTACAATAACTTGAAAAGGGATTGTAAGACAGAAAATTTAAGAAGAGAAATCAAAAAGGATTGAATCTAGGATCTATGGGAATCTTCTTAGTAGATAAAAACTCTCAAAACTTGCAAAGGGGATAAAGTAATATCTAAAGTCTGTTTGAAAAAAAAATCAGCTAGGCTCACTCCTGTAATCCCAGCTATGCAGGAGGCTGAGATCTGAGGATCTTGATTGGAAGCCAGTTTGGGCAAGAAAGTCCCTGAGACTTTTTATCTCCAATTAACTACCAAAAAGCCAGAAGTAGAGCTGTGGCTCAAATGGTAGAACACAGTGGCCCATGCCTGTAATCCTAGCCACTCAGGAGGCTCAGATCTGAGAATTGTGATTTGAAGCCAGACTCTTCAGAAAAGCCCTCATAGACTCTTACCTCCAATTAACAACTCAAAAATCAGAAGTGGCACTATGGCTCAAATGGTAGAGCCCTAGCCTTGAACAAAAGAGCTCAGGGACAACCCCCAGACTCTGAGTTTAAACTCCAGGACCAGCACCAAAAAGAAAAATTCAAATGCAAACTCTGCTAATAAAAGTAAAGAGGTATGTGCCAGTAATTGGGCCCAAAGGAAAGAAGAAGAGACAGCTACAATGTCAACAGTTTTGGCCTCTAGTCAAACCACTGAGGATTTCCTAAGAATTAGACAAATTTAATCAATGTTTAGGTACATATAAGCACAGGATTCTATAAGTCTGGCCTACATTGTTTTTCTGCAGGAGAAGAGTCTTAGATATGACTTAATTCAATTTAGTAATAATCATGTGATTTTACATGTTATAAAGCCAAATTTCTTTTTTTTGCTTGGGAGTGGGGCTTGAACTCTGGGCCTAGGCACTGTCCCTCAGCTCTTCAGCTCAAGGAGAGCAGTCTACCACTTGAGCAAAAGAGCCACTTCCCATTTTCTGGTGGCTAATTGGAGATAAGAGTCTCAGAGATTTTCCTGCCCAGGCTGAAAGCCAAAGTTCTTACATGGAGAATAGCCAGTGTGAAGATGACTAAGATATTGTAAACCAGTGCAAAAGACACAGACAACATTTTCCAAAAGTGACCTCTAAGAACACCTTGTTCTTGCTAATTTTACATTTCCCACATATTGTTTGCTAAGGAATGTGCTCATGTTCTGTCCTTTCACTTCATCATTATTTATTTAGTTTTCAAGTTCCACAATGAAATACTTAACAATTATCAGAAGTATCTAGTATCTAGTGAGGCTATGAAACTTGATTGTGGGGAAGGAAGTAAACTTCTTCCTTCCTATGAACTTACTCATTCCGACAACACTTTGCTTTTTTCTTCCAGCTCTACATAATGGAAGCAAATCAAAGTACTAAAGTAGCAGTAGAAGCAATAGTAACAATAGTGCCTTACATAAATAGAGGATGAGCCACAAAGATATTCTGCTACATGCACCAGATTGGCTAACATTAAAAAGGCTGATACCAACAATGTTAGTGACAATGTGAAGCCAAGGAAACTTTCAGACATTGTTGATAAGAACATAAAATGGCAAAATCACTTTGGGAGTTTGGAAGAATGTCTGGTAGGGTTTCCCCGACCTGGTGCTGGTACTGGAGCTTGAACTCAGGGCTTCTTACTCTCACTCAGTTTTTTTGCTTATGGTTGGTACTCTACCACTTGAGTCATGCCCCAAACCCAGCTCTGAGCTAGTTAATTGGAGATAAGCATTTCTTGGTACGGTCTGAGAAGGCTAGCTTCAAACCACAATCCTAAAATCTCAGAGCCTTTCTTTGAGAAGGTGGCCTAGTAGGGATTCAAAACCAGGACTGTCTGATGGCAGAGCCCAGCCCTTTCCAGCTCTACTCTATTCCCATTTTATTCCCCAGGGGTAACCACCAATATACAGTGTGTTGTGTGTCTGTCCAAATTTTTCATAAACACACACACACACACACACACACACACACACACACACTAGTGTAACATGGCACTTGCAAAATTTATCTGTATTAATCTTTCTTCTGTATAACTGAGTTAACAGACAGTTGTGTGATATTGGGCAAGTCCTTCAGTTCAGAGTAAGATGTTCTTGTTAGGTACAGCTCACCTGTTTTCCAGATCTGGCATGCTTAGGTTTCTAGCAGCAAAGCACATCCTGAGAGGGATGACTTTCCTGTCCTTGGTGCTGTTCTGGTGTTTCGGAGAACCAGAGTCCTCACTGCCACTAAAGCTTGGTGATTGGGGAGCCGCACCTTCCCATGGCAGGTCTGATACTAAAGATGGCTTCTTGATATATGGTGTTACTTCTCGGATGAACTTGACTATGAACAAAAATCAGAGAACAAGGTTAGCATTTTCTTTCCCATGAAAAATGAAAACTATGATAGTCACATTAGTAAGTAGTATTTACAACAAAGTAAAAACACAAAATTCAAGAGCCATGAATCTCGAGATAGATTTCAGTGCTTCCTGAGACAACACCATGTAGCTTCAGACAATTCTTTGCATTTAGAAATGTCTTAATGCTTCCACCTGTTGGTTTACTATCTACTAAAGCCATGTAGAATAAACAATTTCTCTTCACACGAGAACATTTCAAATATCTGAAAGATGTGTTATTTCTTTCTTGCTATTATTCATACTAAGTAAGCATCATTACATTCTAAAAAACATAACCTAAAAATAAAGTATAATCAAGATAAGCACAACAAAGCAGGCTCAACAGATAGCCTTGCTGTTTCGAAATGTCCTATTAACATCAAGGATACCTCAAATTAAAATACAGCTTTCAATAGACAAAAAACTTTTTCCTTTTATGTTCAATTTTAGGACTCATAAAACACTTCTTTTACCTCAGTCATGACTGGCATATTATGTTGAGGCAGGGTGTTCTTGCTTTAAAAAAATTAAACTGGCCAGGTGCCAGTGGCTCACACCTGTAATCCTAGCTACTTAGGAGGCTGAGATCTGAATGTCGCAGATGTCGCAGTTTGAAGCCAGCGCAGGCAGGAAAGTCCATAAGACTCTTATCTCCAATACATTACTCAGCTCAGGGACAGCACCCAGGCCTCGAGTTCAAGCCCTACAACTGACACACACACACACACACACACACACTGAAGATTATTAAAATCTTAAATAACATTACAAGAATTTTAAATAGTTGAATATAGATGAATCAGTCATCATTCTCTCTCTTAATGGGCTGCCTCTGTATTTTACCTCCTTTTCAAATTCCAATGTGATAGGTCACAAGAGTAACATCATAGGAATTGCAAAACTTAAAATGGAATCGTTCTATTTACACTTCTCACATAGCTTGGATGACAGATGTACACTACGACATGCAGCTTCTTATTAGTTGAGTGGCGAGGGGATATCATCAACTTTTTGTCCAGATTGGTCACAAACTAGCATCCTCTTGATCTTTGCCTCCTAA